AGACAACATAAAAAAATTCAATAATAAATATGAATATTTTGAATTTCGAATTTAATAAATAAATAACAAAAAAACTCATCACCTAATGGTCAATAGACCATTCAAATGACTAATATTTATTAGACAGATTATAAAAAAAATTGAAAAAATAAAGTCCACAAAATTAGAAATAGAAATTAAAATCAGCAGATGAATGTAAATTTCAATGCATTGGAAATATAAAACAATAAATAGTAGAATATATCAGATTAAAAATTAGAATTCAATAGATTATAAATAGACTACATAAAAAAATTCAATAATAAATATGAATATTTTGAATTTTGAATTTAATATATAAATAACAAAAAAACCCATCACCTAATGGTTAATAAACCCTTCAAATGATTAATATTTATTGGACAGATTATCAAAAAAAATTAAAAAAAATAAAGTCCACAAAATTAGAAATAAAAATTAAAATCAGCAGACGAATGTAAATTTTCAATGCATTGAAAATATAAAATAATAAATAATGAAATGCATCAGATTAAAAATTAGAATGCAATAAACTATAAATAGACTACATAAAAAAATTCAATAATAAATATAAATATTTCAAATTTAATAAATAAGTAATAAAAAAACCCATCACCTAATGGTTAAAAATAATTTTTTCATTTTAATAAAATTAAACATCTTAACCATTAAAATATGTATTCTTTTGGTGATACCAAAAAAACAGAGACTTGTATAACATTATATGCATGCAAAAGAGACTCCTCAAAAATGCAATATTTATTGGATAGATTATCAACTAAAGAATTGAAAAAATAAAGTCTTCAAAATTAGAAATAGAAATTAAAATCAGCAAATGAATGTAAATTTTCAATGCATTGAAAATATAAAACAATAAATAATAGAATGCATCAAATTAAAGACTAAAATGCAATAGATTATAAATAGGCTATATAGAAAAAATTAAATAATAAATATGAATATTTCGAATTTAATAAATAAGTAAAAAAAAACCCATCACCTGATGGTTAAAAATAATTTTTTCATGCACCACATTTATCATTTTAATAAAATAAAACATTTTAATCATTAGAATTTGCACTCCTTTTGTTATACCAAGAAAACAAAAACTAGTATAACATTATATGCAAGAAGAACTTGATCCTAACAATACATAATATTTCAGAACTTAATCCTAACAATAAAAGACGAAGCAACATGTAAAAGAGACCATTTTAAGCATATTTCTGGAGATTATATGTGAAATACCTGTTTTTCTAATCCTTCAGCAACATCCTCAAACAAATCTTTTGGGGTTAACCAGATATATTGGCACAGTCCTATCAAAGAATGACATGACATATCAAATGAAAAGGTAAAAGAATGATGTGATATATCAACGTCAATTCCCATAAGAAAAAGGTTAAATGCTAAATTTGGTCCCTCAACTTTAGTGAGTTGCACATTTTTGGTCCCTCAACAATTTTTTACACTTTTTTTTTATCCCTTAACTATACGAAATGCACTCCGTTAGTCCTTCTGTTAATTCGGGCCGTTAACTCGCTTATGTGGTATTTTTTATAATTTTTTTTATGATGTGGCAAAAATAACTTTAAAAAACGTTGATGTGAAATTTTTTTTTAAGCCAACTCACTGCCAACTCATCAATCAATTTTGCCTTAATAAAAAAAATAGAAAATTACAAATTTACCCCTCTCCCCTTTTTGATCCATCTTCTTCCCCTCTTTCGATCATCTTCTTCCTTTCTTCTTTTTCTTTTTCTTTCTTCCTCTTCTTCCTGTATATCTGCTGGGTTCCACGGGAACCCAGCCAGAACCCAGCAAACTGGGTTCGAGGAACCCAGATCTGCTGGGTTCGAGGAACCCAGATCTGCTGGGTTCCCATGGAACCCCGTGGGCTGGGTTCCCTGAACCCAGCTCCACTTTTTTGCCTTTTTTTTTTTGTTTTGTTATATGTTGGTTTGCTCCAAGACATTATATGTTTGTTATATGTTCAAAATGGAAATAGAAAGAACAGAAGCAGTTGGGCAAAGAAGCTTAGTGTGTTTTCATTTGTTTGGTTGGAAAATGGTAAGTTTGGGTGTTTGGATGCCGAGAAAATGCTTTGAATGTGGGTGTTTGGATGCTGAGAAAATGCTTTGAATTTGTTTGATTGGCAAGATTGGTTACTGAGAAAATTATAATGGCCCGTTAAAAAAAAAATTTAATGAGAAAATGGTGATTTAATTATAAATTAATTTAGAATTTTAATTTTAATTAATA